TGAAATCTAATGTGATACTCAACAGATGCATTTCCCTATTAATCACATCAGTCAGTATCATGACATGTTGGGAGTTTTAGTCTAGTACATATGGATATAAGATGGAATTTTAAAGAAATGACCCAGTGAAGCAAAAAAACAATATGAAAAGAAGACAAGCAGCAGATATGAGAACAGGATGATGGAAGCAAATAAAAGATAATGTGATATTTTTCTATCTTGTCCAGGGAACATCATTAGCAAGCATGATCACAGTGCAATCCTCAACGTTGTCCTTATCCACCAATATTATTAGCTCTTAAAAAAAAACCCACATAATCACATGCATTTTTCAGCCCTACATTCGACCACTAAAATCTATTCTAGAGAACTACCAGGAAATGTTTATTTAATTCTGTTTAGAAGATTTTCTTTACTATTAAGCTCAACTTTTCTAGAGTTGGCAGAAGATCATACTGATGTAAAATTTGCTATCTTCATTGCAGTCCCTATTTTTTATAGTAGTTTTCTTAATTACCTTGTTTTCAGAATTCTTATTTAGATTTATTTTCCCTGCAATGTTCAAAACATTCCTATTAGTTAAGATTTCCTCAGAGTTAATTACATTTAAGTATTTAAATCTTTTTCCTCATACAAGTCATCCTAACAGTTTTACACTTCTCATATCTTAAAACAAAAAAAGAGAAGGGGAAAAAAAGGAAATAGTATACTACTTGAGAAACCTGTCCCTCTTAAGCTAAAATACATTTATATCCAGAATTTTTCTATTCTAACCATATTCAAACAAATGTTTAATCTTTAAGTATTCCATCTAATAAATCCAATCATTAATATTTTAAATCTATTCAAAACATTCTTATCAATTGAAATTTTCTCAAAATCAATTACACTTAAGTATCTAAAACATTTCCCTCATAAACCATCTCAACATTTATATATTTGTCATATCATAAAAAAATACTATGTTACTTGAGGGGCCTATCCCTCTTAAACTAAAATTCATTTATAGCCAAACTTTTTCTATTTCTTTAACCACATTCAAACAGGTGTTTAATCTTTAGATATTCCATCTGATAAATCCCATCATCTAATTTCTTAATTCTAACTTTAGCCTCTTTTTTTGCCAAACTTCTTTCCTAATCAGTATGCTCCGCTGGACCAGGAGGTCTTCCCATAGTCTTGTAGATGTTGCTGTAGATACAAGAGACAAGTCAAGTAAGATGTTTTTGTAGGAATGTTTCGCACCTTCGTATTCATTGAAAATCTTTTTCTTTTTCTTTTTTTCTCTTTTAATTTCTCTTATCATTTTTTTTTTGTCTCTCAAGTTCTTGTAGTTCTCCTGACAGCTCTGTAATCCATTTTGTTGAATCTTTTTTCTTGTCCTCAGACTTATTTTGCAATCTTGAAGTGTAGGTTATCTTTTCCATGTCCGATATTTCCTGCAAGTTTTTTCTCCAAATGGGTTAAGTCATAATTTCTTCCATTGTTGGGTTCCATCTTTAAATCTCTTTCCTCTGGGTTATATTCAATTGTCTGCTTTATTTGATCACTCTCTTTTGTTGTGAGGTTAAATTGAAGATGTGTTCATTTATATTTTCAAAATTGTTTTTAATTTCCTTGTGGTTTGAAGTCATTGTCATTTGTATTAGTTGCAGCATAGCATACATTTGCTCCTGGAAAGTATTTATTTTTTCTTGATATGTTCTTTCTGTAGATCTGCTGGAAAGCCTCCTGCTTCCTCACCCACCCACCCTTTGCTTTGTCCTGCAAAGTGTGGCTCACCCGGCACTCTTGCCCACTGCTATGCCAGCAGATCTGTCAGGATCAGAAGGAGGTATCTGGGGGGGGGGGGAGTAGGCTTTTCAGCAGGTGTTGCCAGGCCTGCAAACTTGGCACTGCCGCTCCACTTTCCAACCCCAGAATTGCAGAGTAAAGTTGGGCAGCCTCTGAGTGCCCCTGACAAGCTGCAGATCTGCTATAGTCTTGTCTGCTGTCCCCTTCCTTGGCTGGGCGAGGTTCAGCATGCAGCCTTTAGTCGGGGCTGCCAGCATGGTGGCGGGTGGAAGCGCCAGGGGAGCCATGCTTTGCAGGACGAAGCTGATGGATCTATGCCGGCAGGCCCATTGGCATCAGGATAGCGGGGGGGGGGAACAGGAGGCTTTCCAGCAAGTCCTGCCCCAGCTATGGTGAGGAGCTGCAACTGCATTTGTGCCCAGAGGGCAAGGAGAAGGAAATGGAAAGGTATGGTGGTGAGATGCCTTCTGGCCTGCTTTGATTGGGGGTATATGGCCTGACTCTGGCCGAAATGCAAATCCCTCTTAAGCAGGGATTGGGAGGCTGAACCCTCTATCTTTGTGGCCATGCAGTTCTAACATCGATGGGCTGCTGCTGGGGAGGAGAATCAAAATAGGGCAAAACAAGCATAGTCTACCATGGTTTATTGATTGCAAAGTTTTCCTTGGGTTTTCCTATCCCTTCCTGGGTTATTAAAATCACATTGGCAAGGTCTGTACTGAATACCTGGCTACAAACTACTCAACAGATTTTAGCCTAGCCCCTTGGGCAATCCCAGGCCACATTCTGGAGGTAAGAGGATGTAGTAACAGGAGAGAGCTGCAAAATCAATTTGTTATTTATTCTTGCCTTTAGCAGCAATAACTACATTGTTTGACAACTTTGCTAGCTTTCCCCTTGGGGAAAGAATTCAGGAGTGCTAGATTTATTTTTCCTGCTAATTACATGATACCTTGTGGATTTTTTAAGAAGATTATGAGAAAAAAAAGTGTCTGAAAATTAAAGGATGTATGGATTGAATTGTGAGACAGAGAAGGGAAGTACATGGACTTATGCACTTCCAGTTGCTGACAGGTGTGCCACTAATATTCTGACTGGACACCTGCGTGCTCTCAGGGCCCAAAGAGTATCTTCATTCTTCATAGGGTGGTATTGTGGATTAACTAATTTTTTCTGAGTTCTGATTTTAAGGTGAGTATCCTGAGCTATGGAGGTCTTTGATCTTCTTCTTAACTATATAATAATAAAATAATGAGAACTAAAGGGAGGGCAGATTAGAAAGAACAAGACCTTTTGGAGTCTTCAATTCCCTTCCTGCTAAGAGTTCCTTAATAAGGTTTGCTTTTCCTTCCTAACATCAATAAAGGTGGTTTTTCCAGTACCGTATATGCCGGCGTATTAGGCGACCCGGTGTATAAGACGACCCCCGTCTTTATCGCCGAGCCGCATTCCTAGAATGTCATCTTATACACCGGAAACTACCAGTATTTCCGGCGTATAAGACGACTCGGCGTATAAGATGACCCCCGTCTTTGGCGCCAAGTTTAGCGCTTCCGGAAGTCGTCTTATACGCCGGCATATACGGTAAATATCTGAAGAGCTATAATTAGTGATTTAACTATGTTTTCTTTTTGGCTGTGTTTTAATTTACATATAATGCATGTTTAATTGAGGAGGGCTTGGAGAGGTAGAAGTGGCCAATATGGAGGCTGCACCTTGCCTCCAGATCTCTGCTTCCCCTGCAGATCTCTGGAGAGGAGGAGGAGGTGGCAGGGGAGCTGCGTGAGGGAAGGCTGCCCCAATAAACCAGCATCCTTACCAAGCACAATTGGAAATGGGAATTCCCTTTTGAGAAGGGCCAGCCTCGCTTGTGCAGGACATGGAAGCGCTGCTCCCCTGCCGCCTCCTCTTGCTTTCCAGAGCTCTGTCAAGACAGAACTTGGACTCAGAGGAAACTGCCTCCTGCAAATGTCCTCCACCTCCTGCTTTGCCAGCAATTGGACAGGGAAACACCAATGATGTGTGAGATTGGGAAACAACATCTCTTTAGTGTGCTACACACACACACACACACACACACAAACAAACAAACAAACACACATTCCAAGCTTGGAGACTTGTATTCACATCTGAGCTAGCAAATGGCCAATCATGCCTGGGCTTGGGGAGGAGGCCCTCTCCTTCCTCTGTGGATAAAAGTCCCCAAACCTGAATGTAGTGTGTGCGCATGCATGCACGTGCTTGGCTGCTAGCAGTTTGGGGAGGCGAGGAGTTTATGGGAGACCGAGTTGTCCTCACACCGAGTGAGTCCCCACATCGACTTGTTCCGTTCTGACCCAGCTATCTTCAGTCAGCTGTGTGCAGTGAGTGGCGTCGAGCAGGTCACACCCACCTGCTAGGCAACTCGTGGTACTTGAATATTGCCATATCCTAAAAGTGGTACAATCCCTGAAAAGGTTGAAAAGCCCTGCTCTAGGACATTCACAGAGTTTCCCTAAGCCACTCCTGTGTTGTCTTGGCTGTGTGCTTAGGATCATTGTCATGTCGGAAAGTGAACCCGAATATCAGGCTGCAGCATAACAAAATTGGCAAAAGTGAAGAGGGTCTAAATACTTTCTGAATGCACTGTAGATATTAATGTTTTTTTATCTAATATCAAACAATTAACTTGCTTTAAAAAGAAAAAAAATCAACTACCAAAGCGCAAACTCATGTCCTCCAAAAGGTTGGGAATATAACCCCCTTCCACTATGGACCTGCTGGCTACAAATAATGGAAATTTCACCTAACTCATCTGGAAGGTGCCAGGGTTGGGAGAAAAAACGAAGTATAAAATGATAAAAATAGAAGAATTTTTTATGATATCCCACCACCTATTAAAAATATTTTTGCAAAGGCATATTTAGCATTTGCTTTAGTGTCAATTGTTTCATTGTTTTGCACATATTGGACCAACCATTTCCCATTTTAACTAGAGGAACTATACATTAGAAGGCTAGGCTCTAAAACACAGCTTTATTTCCTTCCTCACTACCACTCCCTCCACCCAGCTCTGCCATGAACTGGTGACCACATGGTGGGCAGGCCATTTGCCTCTTGCGGTTTTCCTCTAGTCTCTGCAGCAGTTTCGTAGTTGCGGCCACAACTACCTGTGGGGTGAGGCAGGAAATTACCTCTCTTGTGTGACTGAGCAAAGCCTGAACTAATTCCCCAGGAGCTGCATTTGTTTCTGTTCATTTTAGTTCCTTGAAGTTCATAAAGAGGTTTTTCTCAAAAAAGGTCAGACGCCATCTGCCAGCTACTACCGTTGGCAGACAAAATGGAAGCAGCGAGAACTCCTGCAGGAGAAGAAGACAGATTTTCGGGTAAGAATTGTGTACAAACCTGATTCCTTAACCATGTATGCTAAAATCTCTCTTTCAAGCTATCAACAGTCATTTAGCCTGACATTAAGCTGCCAGGGAGCTGCAGTCATCTATGCATTGGTTCAATATTTGTGTCTGATAAGTAGGCTATCTCTTTACACGCCTTTTATCTCTCAGGGCATCCCTACAGCTGGAGGCTGCCTTGGCAACAGACTGGAGGCATCATTAAAGGGCAGCAAATTGTTATTTTATTTGTCAATATTATATTTTTCGTGTCAAATAGGGAAAACCTATTTGTGGATAGGTTCATCACCCAAAGAAACTTCATCCATGTGCCAAAAGAATTTGGTTGTCTTGGCTACTGTCTCAGGCAGCAAAATTTTGGAAGTCTTTGGAAGGTCTCCCTCTCTCTCTCTCTCTCTCTCTCTCTCTCTCTCTCTCTCTCTCTCTCTCTCTCTCTCTCTCTCTCTCTCCCTCCCTCCCTCCCTCCCTCTCTCTTTCTCTCTCTCTCTCTCTGTGTGGGGGGGATATGAATGCAAATAGGAAAAAAAGCCTGGCTAACAGCACACATTGTATTTTGTTTTAATTATGATTTATTTAAAAACTGTATTGGCTATATATTCTCCCAACAGGTTAAACCAGAAAATATTTTTCATAAATCACAGTGACTGGGTTTACAGAACCAAAAGGTACCCTTATGTCTTGGTCTAATGCATGAATCCATCCTCGGTGTGTATCTGTTTCTAGTACTTGAGAACTTTCAGCCACGCTAAACATGATTAAAAATGGGCTTTTAATATATCCGTTGTTCTGTTCAATGTACGAGCACACAAAATGGACATTTCCTATTTTTTTCTATATTGTACAGAAGGTGGCAGTAGATGCTTTCAAAGTAGATCGTCTTCCTTTTTGGTTTTTCTTTTCTTTCTTTTTTCCTTTTTTTGTGTGGGACTGAAGATCAATATAGAAAACTGAAGTGAAAATAGTATTTAGATGCTAAAGATTTCAAACTTTAGAGACAAGGATTATCTATCATTTCCTTCTTTAATGTGCCCATACAGTTGTCAATGATAAGCATGACAATATTCATTGTGACTCTCAGAATTGGACTTTTGACATGCAGATATTTGAAGCTTACTGGCCTCTGTGAAAATATTGACCTTCTTAAATCCTCAAGTCTTCAGATCCTTAAATATGCCTGTAATTAAAATTTGAGAACAGAAAACCTTGAGCTCTAAAAAAAAGAGAGAGAGACAAAAACAGGGCTACTGGAACAAAGCTGGGTACATTTCAGTGTATTTCACAACTATATTTCTTGCAAGAGTCACTAAGGACATTATGAAAGAGTAAAAATCATTCTAGCATGACAATTGTGATGAAAGGGTGATGATTTGGCATATCTAATGGTAGAGGCAACCTACAAAAATACACGGCAAGAAGCGAGCATATGGCTTCACCAATTCATTGCTTGTTTTTCTAATAAATCTATATAAGCAACAATGGGAGAACGATAGAGGACTAGTTTTCTTGTAATATAAAAATGCAACCAGTGCAGCAAAATCTGTTATTTTATTTATTTATAAAATTAATTGGTTGCAATTCAGATATTTAAATTAGGTGACAATAAACTGAAAGGCACACTAGATACTTACACACAAAAGTAATTAATCAAAGTAAGATTCTGAAGTAAGGGAGCATGTAGGATGCCCAACCCATAGTCCTGGTTTTGGCCCGTGCACTTTTGTTTGATAATTCTGCATAAGTGACCCAAATCTGCCTTGTCATATCAGAGTTGAAAGGCAACTTGTCTTCTGATGTAGTAATTCAGGTTCTGTCTGCAGGTATGATTTGTTTTGACTCTGATCTGATTGACGTAACTAAATAAAAAATGTTAAGAATCACTCAGTTCAATTAGCCTATGGAACTGTTAAGTGTACAAAATAAACACATTGCTTGATTTTGCAATAGAACTTTGGTGCCAACTTGTAAAAAAACCTAAGCCTCCATTAACAAGGATTGACAAGATATTTGGTATGAGTCAAGAATGTTGCTTTGCAGATTCTCCCATAACAGATGATCCAGTGTAATTCCATAGAATATACAGTATTTATTCCTGTAAGGCTGAGATCATCAATGGCAGCTTCAACAACAACAACAAAAGTGAATGTGCTGCGTGTGTGTATTTATGCAAATATCATACTTTTGATTTCTGGAAAAAAGCCAATATATTTCATTATAATTCCCCTAGCTTACAAAACATTTTTCTCTGAAATAGATTCTACTGATTTACAGCTATTTTGAAATTGCTATTTGATTTTAATGCTATGATTTTTAATTAGTTCTATTCTGAATCTGCAAAATAGTTCAGACTCCATGTGTTCTTGAACTATAGCTACTGACAGACCCAGCAACTTTGAAGTGAGGGATGCTGGGCTTTCTAGTAATAGTGTAATATTTATGCAGAAAGATAACTTTGTAGGGCCACTTATGAATCTGAAAGAGTACAACTACAGTAATTGCAACAGGAAGCCAGTTTCTGTTTTGAAAAAGGACAAGTTTGCATTGGATTTCTGCAGAAGTCCATAGAACTGCAAAAACTGATTCTACAGCCAAAGATGATAGCTGAACTTAAAAACATATGGAAGATAATACATCATCACATGTCTGGTTAGCATGACTTATAGTATTTTACTTTTTGTCTTTCCTTGCAATCTCTTACAAATTAAGTCCCATGTGCTGGTTTGACTGGGATCATGTGGGTTAGAAATTTAATAAACACATTTCTACAATATAACATTTACGTTCCACCCTAAGAAATAGGGAAGAATTATGTTTTTGATATATTTAATATATATTATCAATATACTCTGGTTGACCTTAAGAGAAACATAAAACTTTTCTACACTATTTATAACAACTTCAGAATTGCCTGTCAAACCCAGTTTTAAACTGTCCATAACATTGGCTTTGCCTTTTTCTCAGGTTACAATTTATGCAGCAAATCCTGCCATTCACTGTACACCAACACAGGCAACTGAAAACAAAGGAAAGCTAAGAGATTCAAGACAAATTACCCTGATGCCAGGGTATCCCTGCTTTCTTTAAACTCATCCTTATCATTTTTATAAATAACTCAGGGTGGCAAATGTTTCTAATATTCTTTACTTCTCTTATTTTCTCCACAACAACAATCCTGTGAACTGAGTTGGGCTGAGACAGTAACCGGCCCAAAGTCACCCAGCTAGATTTCATGGCTAAGGCAGGACTAGAATTCACTGTTTCCTGGTTTCTAGCCTGGTGCCTTAACCACTAGCCCAAACTGGCTCTCTGCAATAAAGACGGGGGTCTTCTAAAGTTCACTAGTGTGTAAAGGGTTATACTAAGATCAAAGATGGCCTTAGTATAAAATGGGTAACCTTCAAAGGGATAAAGATTTGCTTGGTCTATTTCCCAGCACAATCCATGTTTAGGGCAAAGAATTCTTTTCTAAAATAGCAGCCATTATAGATGAAGATGTGGGCAATCTCATGGCAATTTAATTTTTTAAAAAATATAATTGTATTTTTTTATTTTTTAAAAAAACTAATAGAAACTATAACAGAATAAAGGAAAGAAAGAAGAACCGGGGAGGGGGAGAGAGAAAAAACAATAATATAAAAACAAAGCTCCATCACTTTTTTTCAGCTATTTGTCTATCGGTTCCAAAAGAAAAACTTCTGATTTTAATTTTATATTAATCTTTAAAATTTGAATTAGTTTACGTATTTGAATCCATATTTTTGGGGGCTTTTTCACACATACAGCAGGCATAATAAAACGTTCCTAGAACATGTTCACATTTCCAGCACCTTCTTGAGAAAGGTGAAATGTTTGCCCAACAGAGATAGAAGCAATTTATTATGAAGTGCATTTAATAATTTGACATAGAAATGGTTTGGGGGTTAATAAAAATATCGACACCAAGAGAGATGCACTAGATAACCTGCTAGATTATACTGAATGTATCACTGAGCAACTGTTATCAATTTAAGAATGGTTTCAAAGCCATCTTTAAACCAAACATGCCTTGTTGATCTCACTTCTTTATGTTTACTAATTGTCTGTAATAGGAAATTATGCAAAAGCCTATTCAATCTTTCATAAGCAGAAGCACAGCACTTCTGTGGCATTCTTTAAAACAGCCACATGTTCAGTCATTTTTCAAGCAAACATAAAAAAAAGATGCCATTGCTTTAAAGAAATCACTCATTAAAGTTACTATAGAACTTAAAGCTGCAGCATTTTTTTCAGGCTTCCTGACAGGCCTAAAAAAGTCAGGTACTGTAATGACCTCCTGTCCCCATGTTTTGTTATACTGCCTCATCATGGCAGGAGGAAGATGTTCCTGGAAGAGATAAATGAAATGCATACCAAGATTATATGCTCCCAGCAGGGTCACTCAAGGTGTGAAGAAAATCCCAGCTGCCCAGTTAAAGCAAAGAGGCACCTTATTTGGGGTGCAGCTGGATGTGAAAATAGCAAAAGTATAATTTCACATTGCTCAGGAGAAGGCAACGGTAAACTATGTTTTACCAAGAAGGCTACTTAGATAGGCAATAAAAAGCAATTGATGATATAGTGCCAAATAATGGGCCCCTGGGTGTGAGTGGTATTCAACATGATAGAAGAAAGAACTGAGAATCTTTTGATGTACTAATCATATTTATGATGTGGCTAGATTAAAGCCTTCAAGACATCTAGTTGCTGATTTTACCATGCAGGAAAAGAAAATGTGAGGCTGCAAAGACAGAATAACAATGGGAAGATGGAACATGAAAAGCATCAAAGTGGAAAAACTCAACACAGTAAAAGGTGAAGTGAATTAATTACAAATTGACATTTTAGCCATCAGCAAATTGAGATGGCCTGGAATTGGACACTTTCAGTAAGAAGATTAATTTGTTTTCCACTCAGGACATGAAAACAAGGAACAACATGCTTTTATACTCAGGAAATATCGG